TGCATCGACAAACTTGGCACCTTTCTCGTGTACCTTCAACCATTCGTATTTATCAAACTTTACACAGACGTATTAAAATATGATTTTTGCTATTCGAATATATTATTATTAAATTTAGGTTAATCTTTATTGATTCGTTACTATTTTCATTCAGAATTAAATTTAAGTTTTAATATTTTTGCATGTAAGTTTCTTTTTTTATTTAGAATTCTGTTGGAATATTTTTATATCTGATATATATATATATATAAATTATTCTTCAATATTTATCTACAAATAAGATGATTCGAACTTATCGTCATCCCTCTTAAATGTTAAGCTCGTTATCTTGTTCGTTCGTGCCAACTGCTGTTTTTGCAATCTCATCGTTGGAAACTAAACTCTGGGTTACGCATCGAGAAAATCGCAAAGTAACAACGAGAGACGCGATTCATGGGGGAGTCGTATTGTCGGTAAACTGGAACACGAAAAGAATATATATATATATAAAAGAAAAAGAAAAATATAGAGTAAAAGAAAACTGAAGGAAAGATTCAAAACGACACCCTTGATACTTTCGACGATTCTTACGAGTAATCATACTTCCTTAACTTTTTCTTCTTTTTTTTTTTTTCTCTACCCTTTTCCTACCAAGTTTCGTTGTATATATATACACACAGGTACATATATACTAAGTGGATAAAATATTCAGCAAGTGATTATGCGATCTCGCAAATATTTACGTTAACGAAGTCGGACGCGTTCGACCGTTCACAGATACGTTTAAACGCTTACCTCAAATAGTGTGTGTGTGTGTGTGTGTGTGTGTGAGAGAGAGAGAAAGAGAGAGAGAGAGAGAAAGAGAGAGAGAGAGAGAGAGAGAAAGAGAGATCGATACTTTCGCTTGTCTTCTTGCTTTGACTTTTGCGTTTGCCAGCAACTCCTACACAAGCTCATCTTGATACTACACTTTCCGTGGCTATCTTAAGGATTTCGAAAAGCAAGTTTAACTCTTGAGTCAATAATTAGGGAAGACTTTAATGAGGATCCTAACGCAGAAGTTCAGTAAACAGTTACGTTTTAATAACACCAATTAATTAACTGGTGCCAACTTTTTACCAAACGATATTTCGTTTTCCTCATCGTATTGTAGAAAAAACACATAAGATTTAACAAAAATAAATAATTGACTAAACAATCGATTGAAACGTGTATTATATTTCCATTTTGTGTTGAAATTTTTAACGTGTTAATTATGAAGTATTTTAGGTATAATATAATACGTCATTATCTTTGTATGATTTTGTATAATATATGGTATAATATAGCATACACAAATCGATATAATATATACGTATATAATTTATTAACCGTTTTCAACGTTATTGAAATAATGAAATTTCGTTGAAAGTCCGGGCATGGATCCGTAACTAAGAAACGTACTCGATGGATAATAATACATACGTCAGAACGTTAGGATTCTCAACCGTTTCCTACCGGTTCCGCGAATTCTTGCATTAGGAATATTGTCTGGAGTAAGTTCGCCGTGAAACTCGAAAACCGAGAACATGCACTAGGGCTTGTAGCGCGTTAACTCTAAAAGCGCGTTACCACTAACGGCAGAGTAAAAGGGTGCTAGGTGGAACAGATGAGTGAGAGAGAGAGAGAAAGAGAGAGAAGAGGGGGCTGAGAAAGGTGGAAGAAGGGAAAGGAAGGAAGGAAGGAATGAAGGAAGGAATGAAGGAACGAAGGTAGAGTGTGACGAGATACGAGAAGAGGAACGTTGGTGTGGGAGGGTAAGTGGGTGATAGGTGTAGTAGAGGGTGTTCTAGGGAGAGATAGCAGTACATAGTTGCCATCTGCGTTCCCTCTGAATTATAGTCGTCACAGTGGCGAAGTAGGAACTAATTAACAACTGACAACGGCAACAGGATACTCCGCGAAATCTCTCCTCGAAGTTACCGCACTTACTTAAGGTAAAATCATTTTCCACCTAAGACTTTCGCGTTTGTTATACCATTACTCTATATTTCTCATTGTATTTTACATCTAATAAAAGTAAGAAATATTAATATATATATAATATACTTTTTGATCGGACAATTCTTTTTAAATCAATGTCAAGTAAATAGTTTGTTTTTGACTTTTGAAAAAAGAAACTTTTCTTCACACTTTTCTCTATGTATAAAGAAAAGAAGAGACATGTGTATATATATATATATACAATACTTAGAACGTTGAAAAATGATGGTACTCTGTGAAAACTGTTGCTTTGGATTCGTACTATCGTAACAGTTGGAACAATATTTTTCACTGTCCTGAACCCTAGACAAGTATTGTCCTATTGGAGGAATCTTGCGAATGAGTTCGGTGAATTCCATCACTCTACTATCGATAAGAAGACGGCTTTGCCATCGAAAAAGATTTGTTGTCCTCGACCTCGAGGCAGCTGCGACGATAACTTATCTAACACAACCGTCGCCGGACTTTGGGATACTTCTTACGAACTTTTCACGAATTCCGTTGGGAACTTCTCTTCTCAGAACTGTTCTTCCTTTTCTCATTCTTTTTCTTTTTTCTTCTTCTTCTTCCTTCTTTCTTTTTCTTTTTACTTCTGATCTTTTTCTATAGTTCGCTCCATTCTTGAATTTTATCATTTTCACCCTCGTACCGAGAACTACCGAGCCGTGGTAGAACCGTGAGTTGCCTGCCCCCACCCCCCGTGCGCTCAGGGTTACGTCGGGGAAAGTCGCATCGACCTTTGACTGAATTACGAGGGAAGAATAAATTCGGATTTCGCGGGGACTTTTCGGCGTTTTTCGACTTTACGATAGTCGCGTCGATTCTTTTCTCAACGTCGAGACGCGAAAACTCCGATGACGCGTTTTATCACCACCCACCACCAACCTCACGGAGAATTATTCTTCGTTTTTTTCTTTCATTTATCCTTTAAGAATTGGTAATCATCGTGGGACGGGGGTTACGATTGTATTTTTAAATTCGTTACATTGAAATTCATTCCTTGACAGTCAACCAAAATTACTTTTTGTTCATTTTACATCGATTTATCGTAAATTAGTTTTGATTCAAAAAATTTACATAGTTTTTCGTGTTGAATTTAAAATTGTTAAAATGTACAGTCTGTTAATGTACACGATTTAAAAAAATAGTTCTATACGAACTTTTACTCTATAACATCATTGAAACTTTTATCCTACGACACAATGTGGTAATATATTGTTAACCACGTTTTTAAAACTTTTCAAAATAAAAAAATACGTATTCTTTCTTTTATCCTCTAGCCACCACCACCCCTTTCTTTAGATTATTTATAAAAATAATCAATGGGCGAATGATTGTGTAAAAAAGTGTTATAACTTAACCTCTTCACGCCCTTGGCCACATATGTGGACGTTTAGTTTTTTATAATTATAGTTAATGTCAATAATAAATACAACAAAAATTTGATAACTCAATCAGAGAAGTAAACATTTGTTTGTTTAACTGCACTAGTAATGGTTATTTACGATGTACACTTTGAGAAAAAGAAAAAAAACATTAAGTCATTTTTTTTCCGCCATATAAATATCGTCTCTGAAGAGGTTAGAGTAAAATGATGATATTAATCAAATACTATTTTCAAAATGAAAATCTTGGTCTCGTTTCGCGATAACGAGGAGAACTGAGTGGTTGGGTCGAAATTCTGGTCGTGGGAGGTTCTTCTCGTTGACCATGCGTGAAGTTTGTGATACAATGTTTAGTTAAGCTCGTATAAATAGGAGAACTGGATAAAGCTAGATGGGATACCGTAGTGTCGAACAATACCTCTTTTGTCGACTCGCAGCAAACGTCAGTGTTTCTCGTCTAGCAAATAAATACTCTTGTTTAGGTATGCAATAACGAATATCCACTTCGTCGTTGGTATTATTATTTCTATGAGAAAAGCAACAACCTGCTGCTACTGTTGCTGGTGCTGGTACTGCTGGGTGCTGTTAGTGCTGCTGAATTTCAAGCAAACGATTACTATACTCTTCCTATCCTACGACTTTAGATATGTTTCTCGATAACCCCACCAGTGCTTTTCTATTCACGAAAATAATTCATTTTCGTTAACAACACATAACGTGTACACTCGTACACGTTACAGGTTTGTTACAAACGTGTTGAGCAAAATTAATTTATATTTTGTCAAGATTTAAGATTACTACTTTTACGATAAAACTATGTTCGTCATTATTTACCGAACCAAAAGAAGTAAAAGAAAAGAAAGAAAAATGTTTCGAAGTCGTTTAAAATATATTTTATAGTCTTGTAGATAATAACTCGTTTAACGATTTACTCGCGTGCGTTTCATTTGCATAGATTATTGTTGTTCTATTTTTAAATGCAACCTGTTTACTATTACAAACGTAAATTCTGTTGAGCGTATTATTTCTAAATGATTAGACTTGTTATTATATATATGTGTATTATAATAGTCGATTGAAATATCGATAGGCGTTTCATGAGGTATTAAAAAGGGAACGTTTCGAACATGGTAAGATAAAAATAAAACACCATTTTATCTAATCTCAAAACCATCTTCTCTTACACTTTGTATCGCTTCGTTTATTTTTTTCTTTTCGTTTTCTAACATTTCGTAATATCGTCACATTTGAAAGTAAGATTGATAAACGATATATATACATAGTACACATTTTAGACGTAATCGTTTGCTTTTTTTCCAAATAACACATCGTCCTCTTACGATGAACTCAATCCTTATTAAAATATAAAAAAGAAACATTCTACGTAAATAAAATATTTTAACATTTAAAAAACGATATGAAAAAATTGTTCGATTTAATTAAAAAACAAAACAAAAAGAAATTGCAATAAAATGACTGGAACCATCTTTCTCGGTGAACGTGATTGTAAAAAATGATTATAGAATATTCGAAATACAAAAAAAAAAAAAAAGAGGTAAATAATATATAACTAACGATAAAAAAGAAATGACGACGGGGTGCTCCTCCTTGCAGATGACAATGGCCGATACTTGGGAATCCTCGTAAAAGATCGAGGAGGTTTCTCATCCTCGACTGTACTACTACACCTTTCTACCTTCTAGTCTAAAGGTAGCATAAGGATCATCGTCATCTCTCTCATTCGAGAAGTGGAAAATCAAGTCAGGAACGAAATAATAGTGAAAAAGATAGGAAAAAGAGTGTCCTGAGAAGAGGATTGAAGAAGATCCTAAGAGAAGAAAGAAGAAGGAAGAAAAGAAGAAGCACGTTGGGTTTATAAGAATCGATTAACTCTCTTTCTTTCTCACAGATACACAGACACTAACGTTATTATCAAAGGATATATATTGTCCTTTTTAATTTGCGAAAGCAGGACTTTGAAAATTTGCTGGTACAATAAAGGAAAGATTTATCACTAAGAAAAACCCATAAACCAACCAATCAACCAACCAAACCAATCAGTCAGCTAGTGTATTTTTTCAAAAAAAAAAAAAAAAAAAAAAAAATATACCGTGTATACTTAACACGTTTCTAGATACGTTTTAAGTGTATAACCATACAAATATATGTATACATATTATATCTATCTATCTACACACACATATATACATATATATACATATGAAATCTCTTTGATAACGTTGATGTGATCTGTGTCTTACTGAGAAGTATAACCGTCGTTCGTTAACAAGTGTAAGAGAAGGAGGACGAGTAGGAGTAGGAGGAGGAAGAAGAAGAGTTTCAGGAGAGGTGGATGAAGAGGGGACTGAAGGGGGGACTCTGGGTACTGATAAGGGCTTATCCAGAGATACGATGGCTGCTAACCGGGCCGTTCTCGTCAGTCTAAGCGTTCAGGTGCCGTCGATGAGATCGTCGTCATCATCGTTTCACTTTAATTACAGTGATATCGTCGCGAGTAATAAAACGCTAATTGTTACATTTTATTTAAAACCTGTGTTATGCTGACTTGTCCTATATATACATGCATTCTTATCGGGACAACCATTAACGAAGATAGATAGATAGTCTATTAAAGAAAAATCTTAGATAGATAGATAGATAGATAAATAAAACATATATATATATATACATAGATATATATAAATATACGTTACCAGACAAAAAAATAGAAAGAAAGAAAGAAAGAGAGAGAGAAGAAAGAACAAAAATTGGAAGGAGGAGAAAAAAGGGGAGAACGAGAAAGGTAAAAAGTGAGAATATAGGAGAAGCGTGAGAGAGAGATAGAGATAGAGATAGAGAAAGATAGAGAAAGAGAGAGAGGTGCTACCATGGGAGCAAAGGACGATAACGAACAATCGCAACCGTGGAAGCCCTTAATCGTCGTTTTCACGGCGCCTCGAGTTTTTAATTTGACGCTTTAGAGCGCGAAGTGGCCAGCGGCAAAAGAGAGCCAACGTTGAAGACTCCAAACTAAAAGAAAGAAAGAAAGAAATAAAGAAAGAAAAGGTAGAAGAGTAAAGGAGTGAGAGAGTGGAAGAGAAGAAGTGGGGAAAAGGGTGGTGAGGTGAGGGAAGGGGAAAGGGGCAGAGTGAAGAACGTTAAAGAGTAGGAAAGCGAGAGGTGCGAAGGACAAAAGCCTTAAGAGCCGTCCCAAGAGACGAGTTCTCTTTTCGTGCTAACCTACTCTCTCTCTCTCTCTCTCTCTCTCTTTCTCTCCTTGGCCCCGCAGGCTGCTGCTGGTTCTACTGCTGGTGGTGGTACTGGTGGTGGTACTCTGGTGGTGCTGCTCTTTTCCTCTCCTGACTTCTCTACCTACCCACCCTTATTTCCACCCCTTTCTCCTTATTCTCCTCTTCATCCTTCTCTCATCCTCCTCTTAAACCTTTTTTTCCTTTTTTTTTTACCTTTTTTTTCATCTTTCCTTCTTTTCTCTCTCTCTCTCGCTTGGTCTCTCCGTTTTGGCTTTTTTTTCTCTCTTCTTTTTCATGTTCCCCCTTAAAACTTGTACAATTTTTCGTTCGGCAAAATATATTCAATAACTATTCTATTTTTTGTTTTGTTTCACGATTCGTCAATAGATCGATTATAATTTTTTTTTGTTCGTAGGACGTAATCTTTGTTCTATCATGAATTGAGCCCTTTCACCACTCTTCCATCTCTTTCTTTCTCCCATAGATTTCTATGTATTGGGTTGTTCGGAAAGTAATTTCGTTTTTTCTTGACACAATAAAGGCATTAGTTGATACAAATTGGCAAATAACAACACGTGAGGTCGGTGAGAGGTTAAATTTATCAAACTCAACTGTTTATACTCACTTTAAAGGCCTAGGTTTAACCTCGAAACAAACATTGTCTTCATTTTCACAAAAAAAAAAACGAAATTACTTTCCGAACAACCCAATATTTTTTATATTTTTTTTGAGAAATAAGTTTATATTGTTACTCGTAATGTTTAGTTTTTTTTCCTTTCCTTTTTTTAGTCCAAGATGGACAACATTCGATAGATAAATAGATAAATGCGTTTTGGTAAATGAATTTTAATTATATCAAGTTAGAAGTATGTTTTTTTAAAGATAGGTATAGAAGATTTAGGGTTTTTGGTTTATATTGTTGGAAGATCTTTTATTACATGAAAATTAGAAAGACTGAGAGAGAAAGAGAGAGAGAGAGAATGAAAAGACCAGTGTCTCCTTCAATTTTCTCTCTTCTTTTCTTTCTTTCTTTTTTACATTCACATTCATTCATTCTTTCTTTCATTCTTACCCGTTTCGTTTCGTTTCGTTTCGTTTCATCTTGTCTCATCTCGTCTCTCCTCGTCTCGTTTCGTCTCGTCTCGACATTTTCTCTTTTCTCACAAGCACACACAAGCTGAGTTTCTAATTAAACTTAAACTTTTAATTGACTCGTTGTAAAGCAGTTCCTCGTAAAAGGCCACCGAACGTAAGAACGTAACTCGGCTCGTTCCTATCCCCGTTTTCACTTCTTTCCTCTGATATTTCCCGTCGTCATCGGACCGTTCATTCTTTCTTCTTCTTCTTCTTTTTATAATAATAATTATTATTATTCTTATTTTTATTCTTGTTATTCTTCTAATCTTTCGTATATGCATATATATTTTGAACACTCATGACATACGTATTTTTGGGAGGAATTTTCTATTTTGTTTGTTTGTTTTTATAATAAATAAAATAAAAATTAAAAAATCATAATTTAAATAAAGCATATATAATTTAAATACAACGATTTAACGTCGCGTCGGTCGAATTTTTTATTTATTTGAATATAAATCGAATAATAGAAATAAAAAATATATTAGGATCGTAGTAGTATCTTTTCCTTGAGCATCTTTACTATCTGTCTCTCACGCTAACGTCATCCTATTCGAATTTTACTTCACAGAAGTTCCAGTGCCTTCGGCCGTGCTATCTCTTCTCGGTTGAGACGTGAACGTTTCTAGAAGAGCTGGATTAGATTGCGGATATAATTCCTCAACAAATATAAATAATTATAAAAAAGAAAAGAAAGATATAAGGAAAAGAAAAGAAAAAAGAAAAAGGAAAGAAACAATTACCCGTAGAATCGTGAAAAATATAAATTGTTCGTCGCGAGTGTGCGTAAAATCAATCGAGTGTGTCGTGCATATATCTGTATCGTGTTTTTCGTCACATCAATCAAAGTACACTTACATTAATTTAACATATATATTCACACGTATATATATATATATATATATTTATATATAAATTATATGTGTGTGTGTATGTATACGGTGTAAAAGGATCATCATCGTTCTTGATAGTATCGATTCGTGAATCTTAATTAGCAAGGTGGTTTGGGGGTTGCAAACCTTCAAACCGTAAAAGACAGTAATCCTGTCTTCCTTAAGGATAAACGAGGAGGAGAGAAGGAGGGACAGAGGAGAGCTGGTTACAAGGAGAACACCAATGAAAATGCTTCAATCACTGAACGCCCTGGCGGGAAAAATCTCGCCTAGTTCGCCTACCGACAGCAACGCTAATAAGGTTCACATGCATAACAACAACAACGTCGTACACCATCATCATCCATATTCGAAACAACAAACTCAACCCTCGCCGCCTGCATCCCACTCGAGTAACAACAATGATCAAAAGGAGAACACGTGAGTATTTCTTCTATTATTTCAATTTTCTACTTCTTCTTATTATTATTCTTATATTTATCGTTTGACATGAGTATTTTTTTTTTAAATATAATAGAAACAATGGAAACGACGACGATAATGATTAATGATTATTATTATTATTTTGGTTGGGTGTTTCGTTATATAATAATAATTATTATTATTAAACGTTCATTAATCGTTTAAGTATAGAACGATTAATTTATAAATTATACGTGCGTTCTATACAAGAAATGACAAATAAAAATAAAAAGGAAAAAGAAGTACAATACGAACTTCCGAACAAAACGTTTGGAGCATGTCAAGCTGTAAAATCGGATATAAACGCTTTTCCCGTTATATCCTCCTTGTATCTTCTTTTGACCCCTTCCCGAACCTCCCGTATTATTCGCATAATTCTATTGTTCTTGAATGCAGTGGAAATTGAGGCATTGCTAGTCCTACTTTTTTTTCGTTTTATACTAGCAAAAAAAAAAGAAAACTAAAACAGGTCAATTCATTCTTTGGAATAATTACACTTTCTTCGCACACGTGTATACAAGTACTAAAATTTTTCATTTCATCTATAAGTATTAGAAGGTTAAAAAATTTATACTTTTTCCTAAAAAAAAAAAACAAAAACAAAACGATTTAAATATTCATTATTTAAATATATTTAATATATTATGATATGGAGGAATAAGAAACAAAATAAAACGAACTTACGCGATTTACCCCCCGTTGCGTTCTTTAAATTACATTTTCTATCGTTTTCTTTCTTTCTCTTTTTTTATTTTTTATTTTTTTATCTTCTTTTCATCATTCTTACGCACGGAACGTATCCCGCATATACCTTCGTTAGAGAAGAATAACGCCAGCAAGCTCTTCAACGAGTTCTCTCGAGCTTTCCAACCGTAAGCTTAGGCAGTGCAGGTACGAGGAGGAAAAAAAAGGAAAAAAAAAGAAGAGAACGTAAGAGAGAGAGAGAGAGAGAGAGAGAGAGAGAGGGAGGGAGAGAAAAAAGGAAAGAGAGAGAGACGGAGACTCACCCTCCTTTGGAACATTACGGTAGTGGCACGCCGAAGGGAGGTGCCCTTCTTCATTATTTCGTTACGCCACGTAAACGCGCTACGTTCTCGTGGAAAACGCAGTGTAGCTTCTTCGTGGAACGGAACGAGAGTGAAAGCCTAAAATAACTCGCCGACATTCCTCGATTTCACCCAACCCCTTCTACCTTCCAACCCCTCAATATATATAGGAAGAAGATGGAGGGACAACTGGGAGGAAAGGGGGAGGTAAAAGGATCAAGTATATATATATACCCCCTTTACAACCACCACCAGCACCACTACCACTACCATCGCAACCACTACCTTTAGCAACCTTTAGCAGCACCTTTCCAAGTTGTCCCTTCTCTTCATCTTCTTATTTTCCTTATTCCACAATCTTCTTCGTTTAAGGATGAAGTACGAGGATAGGAGTGAATGTCGCTAAAATATGTAGCCCGCCGTTTAATAAAATTCGCGATTCGAAGGGCGAAATTCCTCGACGGAGTATCAGGGATACGACGACGAAGCTCCGATAAACGCCTTTACGTTATCCTTTCCTCCCTTTCTCTCTCTTACTCTCTATCCATCTATCTATCTCTATAGTTCATCTCTCTTTCTCTATCTCTCTTGACGAAACATTCTCAGGGAAAGGACGCGTCCTGGCACTCTGGAATTAATTCCTACACGTCGACACCCTTGATTTCTCTCGGTGCCGATATAGCGTTCCTGTCGAATTCCAGAGCGAAAAGGAGGATCGTTAGCGACGTTGATTAACCGATCCATTCTCTCTCACTCACTCTCACTCTCTCTCTCTATCTATCTTTTTGTTTCTTACATCGTGTACCGGATTCTTTTCTCATTCTCTCTCTTTCTCTCTCTCTCTCTCACTTTCCTATTATTTTGTTTACTTTAAATTACCCATTTGTTATCTCACATTTTCTTTTTCGTTTTATTTTCTTACGTATGTGTATATAAGTTCATTTTTCGTGTTCACTTGTTTGTGTATGGTTTCGTATGTTAAAAGGGCGTTAGGCTCAAGTCGAAAGGTACATTAAATAGGCGTGCCACCTTGCGAGAAGTTAGACCCGTGTAACCTGTATCGCTCTAGGGAGAAATTCGCTTAACAAAAGGGTCGTAGTAGAAGTGGTTTGAGGGAGGAAGAAAGAGAAAGAGAGAGATCGTAGGGAGGGTTTCTCTTATCTAGATTCGAAAGCCCTACCTTGGAACGGAAAGTACATCGAAATTAATTTCAAGCCGACGACAGGGCTGATATCTATCTATCCACCAAGGGTACGTTTAGTGATAGTAAAAGACAAAGATAAAGAGAAAAAGTTAGAGTTAGGGGTTGGTTAGAGTTGTTAAATAGAAAGAGACAGAAGTGAAGATTATACTCGTATTTGTTACGATCTAGTTTCACGGAAATAAATACTTACGTAGACCTGTCTTTTTACTCACGTCGATTACACACCGATAAGGATTCATTGAGCTATCCTGGTATATCTTATATTCTCATGGTCAGTAGTTATACATTTTTATTTCTTTTTTTTTTTCATTTTCTTTCAGTAGAAATTTTCAGACTTTTCTCAGGAATAATTAAATTTTTTAAAAGGATTATTACATGATGTGCGAAGAAGTGATAAAGAAAATCGTGTTATTTTCTTATATATTGCTGTTACAGCCACACCTTATACTATTGGAATAAATTGGAAAAATATCCTATTCCCATCATATCCAAGTGTGTTTCCTGTCTTTCAAGTTTCCTGACACTAGATGGATAATCATGACATCCAATAGATTATCAGCATATAGCAGCATCTTAAGAACAACATAGTACGTTATTTAATTTAATTTTTTTTTTATATATTATATATTATTTAACTTAACCCTTTGAGTGCTGAATACCTTCACCTAAAATCTTTTGTAGGAATAGAATAATTTATTATTAACCAGATTCTAGTAATAAATTATATTTAATAATTAAATGTATTGTTTTTGAATATAATTTAATTAATTCATATAAATATTAAATTCCTTTACATAAATATTAACAAACACGTATATGCTACGAATTATAAGGTTAGTAATTTTTACTAAACGCATATATGCGTCTATAGCATTCAAAGGGTTAACAATTAAATCAACATAAAAGAAATGTAAAAAGTATCTTTCTGTACGAAATTGAAACTAATAAAATACATTCAAATTAAATTAAACAATTATTTAAAAGTATTTCTATCATTTCAAAATAATTCCTAAACAAAATATTTATATAACAGAACAGAAAAACAAATTGAAAATAGTACAACGCTAAAGTAAGTTTTCTTTTATTACCAAATTAAACACAAATAGAGATTCTAAAGTCTATAGAGATTGCGGTAACTCAGTGAGTACAGCCGGTGGCTAGGTGGCAACCCCAGGATTGCTAGATCGAGTCTTCTTGGTTGCAAAAAAAATCTTTTAACAGATGACATTATGTGCAAATAGAAGACACACGACAAAAACCTCATTGTTGTATTTTTTTAAAGTTCCACTATCAATTTTGTAACAGAGGTAGCTCAATTGGTAGAGTCATCGGCTGGTAACCGTGATATCGTAGGATCAAGTACTCCTGGTTGCGAAAATAAAATAAAATTTTGTTTAAATTAATTTTTATGCATGATGATATCATGATGACGTAGTGATAGGGGTGTGAGGAAGGGAATGGTCATAATGCAGTGGCACCACATCCCTGGTATTATTTATATTTATATATAGTAAGCAATAAGTACAGACAGAGGGATGGCCACGAAATAGTGACCACCCCCTGATATTATTTGTATATATGGTATGTGCGGATAGAGGGGTGTCCACTAAAAATTGTGCCACCCCCTAGAGTATCCTATTCTTCTCATGTTAAAAAATATTTATTTTTTTTTTCTAAACAATGAAGATATTTAAAAAACTAAGTTTCTTAAGAAAGAAAAGTTACTTAAATAAGAAAAGTAGGATTTAAAAAATATAAAAAAGGTTTCACACATGCCACTTTCTCGCACATCATGTGATCCTGTTACAAATCTCAAATTTTAAGAAAATTTTCAAATTTTTGTCGAAAATTCGATTTTGTATCAGGATCACATGACGTCATTGGAGGTAGCATGATATTAGGCGATTCCTAGAATTTTGGAATTTCCAAGAAATGACGCCATTTTCCTAGAATTTTCCTCTTCCATCCTGCGTAAAAATTAATTTAAATAAAATTAATTTTTATTTTCGCGACTAGGGGTTACTCGATCCTACGATCCATGTTTACCAGCAGATGACTACCAACTTGACTACATCTGCTTCTTGGAATGAATATGTTTAATTATATTTCTATGTTTCAAAATTGATAATGAAACTTGAAAATATGACGAGAGAAATGGTCATCCTTTTGCGTATGACGTCATCCGTTAAAAAATATTTTTACCATCGATAGAATTCGATCCCACGATCCCCTCGGTTACTAACTAGCGGCTGTAACCACTAAGCTATTGTTGTTTCTTAATATATATTTTTTGAAACTGACATTTATATTTATGATTTGGTAAGAAAAGAAAACACCATAAGATAACCATGATGTTTCTCTTGCCATATTTTCGCATATCATATAGATCCTTGTTTGGAAATTTTATTTTTAAAACTAGAAGATCTAAAACTCACGTTCTTCTCTTTCCATTACACTGCTCTCTCCAATAAATTTTCTAGGACCCATGGTTGACTTTTTCACATATCCTTTTTTTTATGTATTTGTCATGGTGGTCGCTGGATCCCATACGTATGTTTTAGTTCCTTTTCTTGTCGTTGAGCTTTTAGAAAAATTAAATCCGGTACCTGGTACTTTAGTAAAGATAGAAATATATATATATATAATATTCCATTTTTCCTAGATTCTCTCAACCTCTCTCTCCTCTCTTTCTTTTTCCCTTTTCTCTT